CATCACACCACCCACTGACTACTGGAGCCACTTTATTCATTATTTCATGCCATTTTTGCTTGATTGTTATCAGTTTTGTCATCACTGTCGCTGTAGGTAATTTCATGAAGTGTTTTCAACTTAGTCTGAAATTGACATGTCGTCATCATCAATCACTTTGAAGATTTCTGTCTACTGGGTTGTTGCGCCATGTAGTCTGATAGATGCCCACCAATGTTTCTTCTACCATACTACACAGCGCAACAACCCAGTAGACAGAAATCTTCAGACTCACCGCCATGAAAACCTCAAACCCTACATCAGTTGCTTTATTCTGCGCTATTTTGTGTACTAGGGGAATTAATGGCAGTGGTAAATGTTTTGTTCCTAATCATGATTTTACGCTCCATGCAGTCAGCATTGGCTGAAAGTTATGTCTTTATCTTGCACACTGTAAGTTGCTCTTTTGCTTATCTCGTTGCTTCCACGTTTGTAGTATGTTGGGAAAAGTAAGGTGTTGCCAGATGGAAAATGAAAATTGAAGTGAACTGTACATGACATAATATTTATTAATAAAAATCAGTTTTAATTAATACTGTGGTAATTTTAAACTGTCAGTTATTAAATTTATTCAAAATTGTATGGTACGTCAGTTGCACGTGAGCTCACCTTGCCTTTCCGACCAGTTGCAGTTCAAATGACGAGCTGACGTTAGGGATGGGGAAACTGATTGAGCGCACAGACAGAGTGACGTTGCAAAGTGTGTCTTACGTGGTTCAAGCACAATTCAGGCAACTGTTTGTGGTGAGTCGGAGGACTTGGGGTTTTACACAGCCAAATTTATATCACATAGGGAACATTGAAATGTGGTCAGCATTTTCTGTAAGGGATTGAAAGATATCATCACTTTTGCGTTGTTGTTGATGTTATTGTGATCATTAAACTGTGACACTAAAAGTGTTGTCATCAAAATATTTTGATCTCGTAGGTCACTTAAATGATACCCTGACTACATCTAGTGAATGTTTAACAAATTGTTTGAAAGGAAAAAGAACAGCTGTATATTTGAATTCTGAAACGCTACTTGTGTTGCCAGTTTACTCTTGTGTATATTTCATGTAGCTTCAGAAGGGTTAGCATGAAGATTTATGTCTTCTGGGTTGCGCTATGTAATCTTTTCGATGTTAACCAACGTTTCGGAGTTCATACTGCCTCCGTCATCAGGGCGATGAATCGCAGTATGACCTCTGAAACGTTGGTTAGCATCGACCAGACTACACGGCGCAACAACCTAGGAGACAGAAATCTTCATACTCACCGCTGTGAAAACCTCAAATCTTACAAGGGTTAGCGTGTTCTGAAACACACTTCTTGAAGTTTGTTCAGATGAACGAGTTTTTTCTCAAATGGGGACAGATTGTTACTGTGTTACATTTAAATTTTAGTAAAATATTTTTTTCATAAGAGGGCATGGTGCTTTGGTAGGGATCGATCTTTTTTTTATTACTGACAATTTGATTATTCTGCTGTTTCTTATACATGTAATAGAGACATTGTTTGAAATCATAAATATTATCATTCCTAAACATAGTATTCTGGTAATTTTACTTTTTATGTCTATTTAAATTATTATTTGTAAAAAGAAATCAGGGTTAAAATGTCAAACAAAATATTACAGTTTTGTCCACAACGGTGCCAATATCACCATACATTTCACATCATCTCAAAAAAATACACAAAAATTTTAAACTGTCTCATGTGTTCTGAAGCTTCGGAGTTTATTGCAATTTATTATGCTATTGATGTATTGAGGGATTTGAGGTTTTCACGGTGGAGAGTACAAAGATGGCTGTCTTCTGGTGACGTATTAATTGGCAACAGAAAATAATGGATGGTTAACTGAGTGGTCAGTCAGCCAGCTAGTCGTGGCAACCCCACGATGTATATATTAGATATCTGCAGAAATTTAGGCTGTATTTAAGCAGTTGTAAAGAAAATGGAATAATTCACAAATTAGGGAACAGCAAAGATGAGTTGGTGGTATAGTTTCAATGAAACAGAGAATGTGAAAAGAATGTTAAGATGAATATAAACTTATACAGAAGTTGGACAAAAGACCAGTTAGTCATGTTCTTTACTGTAAACTGTAACAAACAGACTTAATAAATGTCAATGTCAGTCGTGAGGGACTGACAAAGAAGACAATAGAATTGCAAGATAACGAATGTAATAAGTGTTTTGTACGAAGTTGGAAGCCTTTCTTGCATGTACAGAGTCATTAACAGAGGGTTGTACCACACTAACGGATATCATTTGGAGTTGTGAAATTTCAGTTTTGTTTATATTATTGCCTGTTTGTACATACGGAGCAAAAATGCGGTGAAGTTTGTACAGAGCATTGAAAGTGTACAAGAAGAGATGCAGTCTGAAGGAAGGATATTATGCAAAATTTGACTAGTGACACGTTAACCCTGTTGCTGCGATGTTCGACCGTAGATATGAAAAACTTCGTTGCGTACGAAGTAATAGTTTTTAAACTTTGATGAGTGCTGCATTTAGACTTATAACTCAGTGTCAAGCCACAGCAGTGTATTATAGAATGGGTCAATTTGTCAATATTTTACAAAAATTTGTCCAAACGTGCTTGTAAACATTATAAAATAATGTACAATTTTTAAAATTATTTTGACAATTTTTCATATTAAGTTTGGCTGTCTTCAGACTCACCGCCAAGAGAACCTCAAATCCTACTCAATTTTTCAAAATTTGTACCTTGAATTGTATTATTTCAGGAAAGTGGTGAGAAAATAATTTTTAGCGAAAGGGTTTAATGTAAACACGGACAACGGTAGGGTTCGATTGGATGCTTCATAGATGAAGATGTGAAATAATCACTGGAAAGGAAATGATGAGATTTCAAATGAAACTTGAAATATCAGTTATTTGAGTTAAAATAATTACTACCATCTGGAAACCTTAAGATGTGTGTGGGCACCAATATGCATATTTGTCCGTGAAACAAAGACCTTATACGTTTCCAAATTATTTTTTTGATTCAGTGCAAATAGGCTTTTAAAAAATTAGAGTTCATGTTGAGTCTATTTGTTTCTTGTGACTGACACGCACAAGAACATAATAAGTTCATAAATAGCAATTTTTAAAAAAGTAATTTTCAGCACAAGTTATGACCGCTGTGAGAACCTCAAGTCTTACATATGAATACATACTTTATATAACAGACCCTATGGTAAATAAAAGTAACATCCATTAATTTTAATTTTACTTATGATCAGACACAACCCAAGTACGCGCATAATTAATATTTATTCATGTCCTTCGTGCCTCACTTTAGGTGTCGGCAACATTTCGGTTAACGCAGGCCACGCTGGCTGTTTATATCATTGTAAAGGACCACAGAAGAAATAATGAAAAAATTTTGTGGGCAGTTAGCGAAACTGTTTGACTTAACGAGTAATAGCTGGCATTCACTTGAAAATGAATAATAGCTGTATTTCTTATTACCTTTCAAACAGTTGCTTTAAAGTCATTTTTAGTTTTATAAAATTTTAGTAATTTTCATATTGTTTTGTTAAATTTTTTATGGTTTGAATAATGGAGCAATGTACCTTTGTGCAATTATGTGATTGTAACATTACATTTACACATTTTTATTTCATTAAAGTTTCTTTTTTTATTGTTTGCCATTTTGGTTACATAATGTGTGTGTGTGTCGCTGTTCCTCAGGAGCAGAAAATTTTTGTCCTTGCATTGGCAAATTTCATATGTGAAGCACTGTTTAAAAAGCTCGTAGGTTTAAGCTAATCGCCATCTTGACGGACAACACAAAGAAAGAGCCAGGCTTTTGAGTGTGCACATGAGTTTGTAACAATTTAATATTTATTGTCCCGAGTAGGTACTCGGAATAGGTTTCAGGTAAAACGATACCAGACTTCATGACACAGATCTTGTCATGGAAACTGTGGACTATCAGATGCATCAAAACATCTCTGAGCTGGTAGTTTGCCCTCGTCCACTCACTTGGTGGTATAGATGTCAGTCCAAATTGCAATCTTATTTCATTCTCTCGTTTCTCTCGTTCTGGCTGCAGATTGTGTTGATAATAATAGAATTTTGCTCTGAGGTCTTGGATAAATAATTTATCCTTTTCAGTACACATGTTGGGGTCCACAGTGGCAGCGTGGGCCTTGTGCCGCTTGGTCGCTGGGACCGTGGGTTCGAATCCCACTCAAGCCATGGATGTTTTTCTGTGTTGTGCTGCCGATCCCTCGTCCAAGGAGTCCTACCAAATGTCCATAGATCGAGCCAACGAAAAGTTGGGACCCGCAGTGATCAGGCACTTGAAGAACGGGTCACTCCCAGTACACATGTTGTCTTAATGGTGTGTTCAAATAATTACCTTCACCTCTTTCAACATTTCAAGGTCAGTGACTAACAGATGGTCCAGAAGTAGCTGAATGTTGTATGTGATGATCAAGATGATCTTTGTTCTTAAGAGAGTCATTCAGGGACATGAATTTGACCTCTTCAAAGCTGTTCACAGCTTTCTTTGACATGAGCTGTGAAGGAAGTCCTGGTTGTCTGTAAATTGTTTTGTGTTTCCATTTGTCTTCAGGAATGCAGTTTGGTGTGGTACAGCTTAAAACTGGAATTAACACGTCCTGCCATTTTACATTCAATAGCTTCTACTGTTGAAGCCTTTGATAACACTGTCCAAGGTTAAGATTTTAAGGAGTTTTACCTCTGCTCTGTCATCTGGGAGTTAGTACACTTCTTCTTTCTCGGCTTTACAACCCGATGAGGGTCTTGGCCGCTCCCTTACAGAGGTTTTCTGATCTTTGGGAGTTAGTGCATTACCTGTCCATTTTGGCTCATTGAAGAGCTTCTAATTTCCTTATTTCAGTCCATTTGTGTAGGAATGTTGGTGCCTGACTGATCTACATGCTTTCTGACAGTTTTGTAGGTCTTCTGTTTTCAAGAATCATGCTTTGAATTGCTAGAACATTACTCATTGATAGCTGACTTATTTCAGCAACGTTCCTCACTGTCTGTCTCAGGAATCATAATTGTCGTTAGTGAATCATCACTATTTTCAGGAGGTGCTCTTAACTTACACTGAGGCCCATTGAACACTTGTTCTTACACCCATATCTGTAAATGAAAGCAGGAAGTACAAAATTTTCACTAAATGAATGCCAGATAATTTAATAATGAACTACGCCTTGGACAACCATAACACTAAACAAAATTGTATCATACATTCCAAAGTATTTACCTGGAACTAGCTGAGAAATTCTTAGTCGGAATGTAAAGTTTTCCCTGTTAATTGTCAGTACTCGGACACCCAATTTCACTCGAAAATTAATGTGAGGTTATGGTAGTACTTCCGTAAATGATGATGGGTCGAGCCATTTGGAAACAATTTCCTGAGCCAGGGTAAACTCAGATGTTATTACGCTCCTTTTTAACCTTTAATGGCTGGTTTTGGTTAATTGACGCTGTCACGTTCAGTTCGTTGGGCTTCTTCCCAATGGGACTTGAATGTTTTGTAGCTATAGGGTTGGTCACTCGTACATTTTGTTGAGAACAATTCATGTACAAATTAGAATCTCAGCTGTGTGAAATGATGGACTTCTCTTGAACTTTATATAATCATAAGATTACAAAGGTGAACATTTTATTTCAAATAAATATAAGTAGAATGTTTTTATTCGAATAGATTACATCCTCGAGTCAAATAAGGGATATTATTAAAATAATGTATGTTTAAAAATTGTTTTATTTTGCAGATATGTTATTATTTCCAATGTGGTGGGTTCATCACTAGAAGTTATTGTCCCTTTAAAACAATAATATTATTATGTGGCTTGTCTCGATAATGTGCTGCTGGGGGCTTAGTGTGCTTTATGTAGCTTACTAGGATTTTAATGCTGATGGTCAGATTATATTCTAGCATATTTCCATGTCATGGCATCCTGCATAATCAACTTGTATATGGTTTTGTAGTGCTCACTCTGTATCATACTAGAATAAGAAATTAGAGCACGGCACTGCGAAGCTATCAGCCAGATTTTAACTCTGTTGTTTAACAGTATACTACGGCCAACCGAACTATGCATGTGTCGCGATTATCTGTTTTATAGACTCTAAAGGTTTCTCACTTTGTATAAAAATTCCCCACTATTGGACTTCATCTTGAACTATTTGAAACCAGTCCCCAATTACATTCCCTGTTTCTTTAAGATTACAAAGTCGTAAGAACGTAAATGTTTTATGTTGAACATGTATGGATCCTGTATCAGAGAGACCTTACATGTTACCACGCAACCTGAATATATTCCACACAGAATTGTCAGTTCTTTGTCATTGAATTGCTGTTTGTGCTATGTTTGAATTTGCAGTTATTACGTATACTTTGTTGTGACTGTACATTTATGAAAGTGCTTGTATGTGGCATGTATCCTAAAGTTTCTAAAGTTTGGTTAGTTTGTACATACGTTTGCCGCTATGATAGAGTACTACTGCACCGGCCAATTGACGTTAATGAATCTGAACTCACGATTGATCCCCAAAGAATTTTGTTCTGGGTAATTAACATTTATGGGATTATGTAAAGTGGAGGATGAACGGTGTTCCCAGTCCAAGTGGAATATGTATATGAATGTAAATTAAGGTCTGATTCATTATAATTTTTGTTATGTTTGAATCAGTGCTTACAAATCCCAGAGTTCATTAGTGACAGGTAATACCAACATTGACTGACATCCGTAGTTCTAATAGTTATGAGCATTATTGTACTTGAAATAATATAATTGCATTTGATTCAGAGAAGGTAAAAGCAAATATTGCAAAAGTTGCCTCATGAAGTTGCGGTGTGGACGTGAAAAAGTGAATTGGCCTCGTTTTGTTGTTCTGTCCTTTATTTCATTTCTTCGCTGGACCGGGTAGTAAGTTTGGTCACAGACATTTTAAAATGCCAAAGACTGCAGAAACTCATTTCAGAGGGACACTGCCAGGCAATGGAAGGAACTGAACGCAACCTGGATTAGTTTTTGGGCGTTGCAAGTGTCGTGATACAGCTTCAGTCAGACTGTCGAACATTCCAGCGCATTGCATTCTACTGTACTGGCCTAAATTTAAGACGTGTGCAAATGGAAGTTCTGGGAAGTTCCCCTTATGTTTTATAGACTGATGTTTTGTATTGTGGAGAGGTGATGATTGTAATTGTAGTGAACATTGCAGTGGAGGTTATGTTGGGTTTGTAAGATTTGAGGTTATGACACGCAGAACACTTGGTGGTGCTATGGTGTGTCTCACGTGTTTAATTTTAACTCATTTTATGTGTAGTGGGAGCGCGAGAAGCTTTGCAAACGTAAGCTTTTTATCATTGTTGTGTCAGATGTGACATGTACATATTACACTTACTAGTACTCATTTTTAAAAAGGAGAAGCATGCATGAGCCTGCTGCCAGTTGTATCTAGTCGTCCATCTTTCTCATCGTGTGACAGTGTAATGAATTTTTTTAATGAATGAAATTAAACGAAGAGATTTTGTTTCCATTAAAACGGAGTTTCCAGCATCACTGTGGTACGTAACAATTCATTATTTCCTTGGACCATAATATCATAGGTTTGCGTTAAACTAGGACTGTCAGAGTCGTGTATGTTCGTTCAGGGAAATTGAATGGAATTACAAATCAAAGTATTAATAATATGCAGAGTAAAATGTTGAAGATTTTTCTTTACTGTGCAATAATTTATGAGATGTGGCTACAAAATAATGAGACAAACTTTCTTTAACAAATGGTTTTTTTTTCTGAACAGATTCTCCTCCATTTTTAATTTTTTGTTAAAGTAAATGATAAATATTAATATGTGTGATGTAACTTATAACAGTAGTGCCTTGGTAAAAATATGAAGCAGTTCTGAACATTACATGTGCTTGTAGTGAAAACATTTTTAGTGCCCCCCCCAATTTAGTGTGAATTTTGAGTAAAGTTTCGGTGTAGGAATACTTCAGACACGTCTGCAATAAACAGATATTTAATAAGGTTGATATGGCTAGAAGCAAGGTCGACAGTTATAAAGGTGTTGTTTATAAAGTATGACAGTCAGAAACACTAGAAATCATTGCACATGTAACACAGTAGTCCCTGAAAATCTGTAGGACGTCTTTCTGGATAGTTCAGGAGGATCATTGGCACGCAGGATCATTCTGAAGTACGTGAAATTGTTTACATAACAAAAGAAGTCCACTGAATTACTGCCTACATGGCGCGTAGTGAGACAGCTTTACTTTTACTCAGGATTAACACAGACTTTGCCCTATTTGACGATTCAATCTTAGCATTTCTTGGGTACGATTTCTTCTAGAGAATTATTCCTTTGACATTTTCGTTTTGTTTCGAGATTCTGTATCCGTTCCGCACTCTTTATGTCGAGATGTAACATCGTAAAATATTAACCTCAAAATTTTTAAAATTATTCAAAATTGCTACTACATGTAGCATTCAAATCTATGTTCCATCCTTTCATCATAAATAACCTTTGTGAGTCATTTGTACTCGTTCATGCCCCACGTTTAATGGGACCATACGTAATTGTTATTCATTGTTAACTGAACCTCGGCTGAACGATGGAAGGGCGGCCTCTGTCAGCCGCCATATTGGTTAATGTGTGGAGGGCATTGGATGTAGACGCCAGGGATGAAGATATAAATATCTGCAGGCTCCATGTCGTAAATCATTTAATAGGCGTCTGTTATAGCACCTCGGAGATTTATTAAAAATGAAATGTTCTATTTTTACTGTCAAGTACTCAGTGTTATAAACACTTCAGCTGTAATTATCAACTGCGTATTTCTAATACGAGAGGCAAACTATGATTCTTAAATAACAAGATGAAAGTTTCTATGTGGAATGTTTGCCACGAACCATTTACCACTTCCAAAAAAATGTTTTATTTTTTCTCAGTGTTGGCGAAACGTGTTTCTATTCCCCTTTTGGTTCTGGATTAGTGGGCTAATTTCAATAGAAAGTCACAATTCGAAATTTTCTTCCGGTGACTGGCCGCTGTAAATTCAGACTTGGCGGTTGGTTCACGTCGTGACGCTGTTATTTAGACCAATTTTTACATAAATTCAATTAATATCGGTCGTCCGACCTCCTCGGGGCGAAATATTGCAATGTTCTGTCAAAGTACTGAGTTTAAAGAAGTTTTTAACTTCCTGAGTGTGTTAAGTTCTTCGATTTTATTTTTATTTTTTTTATTTAGTGTTCTGTCTGACGACAGGTCCATATGAACAGGATCCTTCCATCCTTTTCTCGGACTGGGACCTGTTCATATACGTTCTTGGCAGATGATCCAGAAGTGGTTTGCCATTGCCTTCTTCTGTGTGTGAATGGAGTAATTGTTGGGATGCCACGGAGGAAAACTCCGTGTTGCCTAGACCACGGCCTTGCCCAACACAAGTTATAAATTCTGGCACCGCCGGGAATCGAACCCGAGACCCCAGGATTACAAGGCCAGCGTTCTAACCGCTAGACCACCGTGGCGGTGTTATCAAAATCTACAAAGCTATAAAGAAGTTCTCATCTCCAGCGGTAGAAATCTGAAGATGTCTTCCTGCGACCTTTTAAATCAGTTTCTTTGACGTTGGCAAATTTAGAGACGAAACAATAACATTCCGACTCTGAAGATTTTTGATGATGTATTATTGAAATGAGCTTTCTGGACGTATCCATTCAGTTGAAGCACGACGTTTTGGAGACTGAAATCTGTCCCTGTCCTCAGAAAAAAGCTTTATTCTGTTGGGCCCAATCGATAGAGCTGGTCCCTATTTCCGGTGACAGGGACCAGCTCTATCGATTGGGCTCAAATCGAAGAGACAGACACCTCAATGGGCAAATTGTCTGATGGGACCAGTTGCAACATCTCCCAGTAAGAAAAAGTCAAAACCTTTCCAGTAATGTGTTTCTTACGCAAGAATCGTGTTACCTAGTAAGGGACGATGTCTTGCGCATGCGCAGGACTCAGCGCATAGTTCGCCTTTTGGTTAGGTTGTTGCTACAAAGGAAAGCAGCGCTGATTGGCAGTTCCGTTTTGAGTCTGTGCCAGCTCAAAGAGCTATGGCTCCAAGTCAGTGCAGAGAGGAAAGTGTGTGCAGTGAATTATCCGTCGCGAAGAAACGAGCGTGACGAATGGATGTCACAGTGACCAGTATTTCACGTGTTTCGGAAGGCAATTCGAATCGATGCCAAAACCCAGACGGTAGGACGGATAATGAACTGAGAAACATTATTTCAAGTGTTATCTATACAACATTGCGAAGCGCACAAACAATAGTGCTTAATTTCAATTTTGGTTTGTAATTGTGTAGGTGTTACCTAGTAAGGGAGCGGTTAGAACGCTGGC